AGGCCCAGACAAGTGACCACCAGTCCGGCAACGACCTGGTACTGGAACTGGGTCTCCTGGCTCCCGAGGCAGCTTTCTTCATGCTCTCAGGGGCTGAAGCGCTCTATGGACATGAACTAGTGAGCGTGGTGTGGTTTCTCTGACCTGCCGGTGCAGCCCCGTCCGACCAGGCAGCCCAGAGCTCCCCGGCCCTCCTGGGAGTTGCTCTGGCTGGAGTTTGCCCCTTTCTGACCTTGAGCACTTGCCTCACTTCATTTTATAGTTTTGGGGTCTTGTCTTCCATTAGCCCCAGAGGCCCTGTCACTGCCTCCTCCGGCTTTCTGCCCTGTCTTAGTCTCAGATAGGGCAAAACAGCCTTTGCTTGTGGGTAGGACATTTTCCAAAGGTAGTATCAATTGCCTCCAGACAGAGCATGCCACCCTAAACTCAGGGTCCCGCGAGGCTGGGGGTAGAGCTTGTGCCAGGCCTGCTGTTGGGAAAGGAGATCCCGGTAATTTCCGGTCTGACCCCTCACTCTGCCCTCTCTTCCCCAGGCTGCTGTTCCTGCTGCCCCATGGTCTGTGCCACGTGTCCCGAGTTGACTTCCAGACACAGAAGGGAGTCAGAGAATCACATCACATTCCTTTCGCATCACTTCTGTCCCTCCCAGGATTGATCCTGAGGCAGTGGGGAGCTGCTGAAGACGCACCTCTGGGCCAGAGAGAAGCTTCCTCAGGGACTCTCTCTTCCCCGTGGCTCCTGACTGGAATCAGACCCTGGGCACCACTTCCCAGCTCTGTGACCCTGGGTCTGTGCTGTGTGGAGTTTTGCCTTTGGGAAATGGGCTTCTGCCTAGTATTTCCCTTTAGGGCTGTTGTTGGGGTTCAAAGGGGTAAAGTGGTGAAACCAGGGCTGGCACGGGCTGGCACAGGCTCCACGTGAGGGGATTGTCAGGAAGACAGAGAGGGAAACACCCACTCTCCTGGCTTGGTTCTTGAATGCCTGGGTGTGCCCACCACCTGAAATGACCCCTTTCCTGGGGGCATCCCATGCTTAGGGAACCTCCCTCCTGGAGGAGGGTGCACCTGCCGGCTGTGCTGAGGAGAGTCTCTGGGGAGTTGAAGCAAAAGAGCCCCCAACAAACGTGCCAACGCATCCCTGCAGTGGTGCAGAAGGGAAGGAAGGGAGGGAGGCAGAGGCCTGCGCTGGCCGCGTGGCTGTGTCCGGGAGTAATGGGGCCTAAGGACCCTGGTGGGGACCAGGACTGGTAATGACTGGGGGCGGGGGAGTGGGGCGGGAGGGGCGGCAGTTGTCACATCCACCTTTTCTCTGCACACAGCTCTCTGGCTCTGAGTTACAGGAACACTGGGGGCAGGGGTAGCTTACCCCTAGGGAAAATTGCGACAGAGGCGGCAGGGATGCTGGGACACGATGTGCCGCCCGGCACACAAGCCGTTCCACGCGATAGGGCGCCAAACTGCCGGCCCCCGCGCTGCGCCCCGGGCCCTGCTGCGCTCGGGGATCCTGCGCACGGCCCGGTGCGCACAGCCCAGCCCAGCCGGGGGCGCTGCGGGCCGCGCGGCCTCCGCGGGGCGGGCTGCAAGGAGCGGGGCGGGGCCTTTGCGCCCGGGCCCATCCTCTGGCTGGAAAGTGAGTTGGCGGGCTTCTAGGCGCCACCACGCCTTCCAGCAGCCCAAGTGCATCTTCGTCACCAGGTTCGGACCTCCGGCCTCGCCTCAGCTCGAAATGGACCCCAACTGCTCCTGCCCCACAGGTAAGGGACACTGGGCTCTGGGCTTTGGGAGGCCCCTTTCCCAGGGGGGCCAAGACAGAGCATACTTGGGCTGGAGGAGGGAGTGTCTCGAGTTGGAGCTGAAGTGGACTCCTTTAGTTAGCATGTCTTCTGTTTCACCCTGGCCCAGCTCCTGAGAGCATTTCAAGTCTTCCTTTGCCTCTATCTTGGTGTTGAGGGTACTGGGACTCAAGGCTCTCCTTCTCGAGGTCAGGGAGATGCTAGACTGGGACCCAGCACTCTGTGCAGGCCCCAGTGCTGCCAGAACTTGGTGGGAAGTGGGGACATTGCCTCCTTGGGTTTCGGGACCTAAGGCCCTGGCCCCAGCCCCAGTCTCTCCAGCTGGATCTTTAGCCCGGGACCTTCCTTGTGGAGTCCAATCAGGAGAGGACCTACCTTTCCCAGCAGCAGAAGAGAGAAGCTGGGGCTTCTCTCCGTCTGCCCTGAGTGGGACAGGAGCTCCCAGTGCTGGGCCCTGACAGAGGAAGGCGCGGCGAGGGTTTGCGGACCCGCAGCTGTCTCTCGTGCATCACCCTCACTGCTCGCCGCCTGGCTTCCCCTTCCTTGCAGGTGGCTCCTGCACCTGCGCTGGTTCCTGCAAATGCAAAGAGTGCAAATGTGCCTCCTGCAAGAGGAGTGAGTGTGGGGCCTTCTCTGGGATCTGGGGGCTGAGCTGAGTCAGCAGAGGGAGCCCGGAGCTCAGCAGGCAGGAGCAGGCCAATGACCCCTCTTCCCTCCATCCCCGTCCCTCAGCACCTGAGTCAGATTTAGAGCTGCAAGAGCCATACAGGTGGTTGAGTCCCAACCTCTCATTCTGGAGTGGGGAAACTGAACCCACAGAGGGCACCCAGTAGTGTCAAGGACGGAGCCAGACAAGAAGCTAGATCTCCTGTCTCCTGAAGAAGCCTTCTGAACCCCCCAGTGTCCCGAGCACTTTATGCACGTGAACTTGGTGACCACGTGTGGTTTCTCTGACCTGCTGGTGCAGCCCTGTCCTGTCCAGGCAGCCCAGAGCTTCCCTGGCCCTCCTGGGAGCTGCTCTAGCAGGAGTTTGCCCCATCTCTCATCTTGAGGACTGTCCTCACTTCATTTTATGGTTCTGGGGGGCTGGCCTTCCATTACCCCCAGGGGCCCTTTCACTGCCTCTCCAGGCTTTCTGCCCTGTCCTGGACTCCAATGGGGCAGGGCAGCCTTTTCCTAGTGGGTAGGACCTTTTCCAAAGATTCTACCAATTCCCTGGGGTCAGAGCATGCCACCCTAAACTCAGGGTCCTCGGAGGCTGGAGGTTGTGCCAGGCCTGCTGTTGGGAAGGGAAGTTCAGGGTAATGTCTGCTCTGATCCCTCACGCTGCCCTCTCTTCCCTAGGCTGCTGCTCCTGCTGCCCTGTGGGCTGTGCCAGGTGTGCCCAGGGCTGCGTCTGCAAAGGGGCATCGGACAAGTGCAGCTGCTGCGCCTGACATGTGGGAGAGCCTGCTCCCGATGGAAACAGAGCAACATATACAGACCTGGGTTTTTTTTTTTTTCATACACCCCTGACTTGATTGCTACATTCCTTTTTCTATGAAATATTTGACTGACAATAAACTCGTCTAGACTCCTCTGGCTGCTGTTGCCTCATGGTGTGTTGGGAATATGAGACTTGGGTCTAGTTGGGCTGTAGGGGAACCTGCATTCGGGGGCCTGGGGAAGTGCGTATGGGATGTTGGGGTGTGGTGCAAGGGTTCCTGTAATCTGGCCTGGCCCTGGCTCTCGTTTGTGGGCTATGGCAGAGTTTCCTCTACTACTTTCTATAGAGTTAACTGGTCCCTGCCCCTTTTGTGTATCTGTGTCACTGCCTATATTCACTCAATAGCCACCTATGGTGCACCTACTGTATACATAGGCATTGGGTTTTCAGTGGTGAGGTAACATGGAGCTCACAGACTGCTGAGGAGAGACAGAATATTAATGATGAGAAGAAACAAAATGGCTGACAGAATGCTGTTGGTGTGAGCTGAGTGAAGAGACGAGACCTTTGTCCTGAGATCTGAGAGCTGCATTCCTGTCAGAGGGGACAGCTTGAGCAAAGGCCCTGAGGTGGGGAAGAGCTTGGTGTGTTTAGGAAATAGACCAGTGTGCCTGGGACGGTGTGTGAGGGGAGTAGTCCAAGCTTGCTTCGGAGATGGTGGAGAGGGGAGAGCAGAGACCATGTGGCTCATTCATCTGAGTGACTCCTGATCTGGTTCCAGAGGTGCATCACTGGAGAGGTCAAAAGTGACAAGCCACCAGCCCACTTCCTCTTCCCAGCCCCCAATTTGCTTTCTTAGGTCTAAGATGGGCCAGGGAACTTGTATTTTTAACAAGTACCTAAGGTGGCAACCCACTGGCGCGGTCACACAGAATCATTTATCGAAGTGAGATGAGCCTTTGCCAGGAAATGTTTCCACCACAGTTGGCATTTGAAGCCAACTGCCCCAACATGCGGCTGCCTGTGCCGGGGCCGGAGGTACCCAGTTCCTGTCTATCTTGAGGGACGGGGGCAGGCCTCGCCATGCAGGGTGTGGCAAGTGTCTTTGCAGAGAGCAAATGAGGCTGAGAGGGGGGTCCAAGCCCCCTTGGGGGCTCACACTGTGGAAACCCCCCCCGGGTGTGGTTGGACTGGTGTCCCGGCCGCCGTCTCCTGGTAGGAAAGTCTGGCACGGGCCTCGTGGGGCTTGAGCAGGAGCATGAGGTGGCCCTGCCCTGTTTGTTCTGGAAGTCCTGGGGCCAAGGTCGCAAATGTGCCCAGGTGTTGCTCTTTCACAACTTCTGCCTTTGGGAATCGCAGCTGCCAAACCTCTCCCGGGAAGGGTACAGAATATTTCCACTGGGCCTCACAGACACAATCCAACTTGCTGCTTTTTATTTTCCAAGTCGTGTGTGAAGTGGCATCCTCGCTCTGTTCCCAAGCCCAATCTCCCCCAGGGGTGGGCGAGGCGTGGCCATTATGAATGTCTGTTGGAGAGATTCATTTACAATAGTTTTTTAAAAAATTTGATATGGCTGCATCAGAATGCCTCGTTTAATTCCAGAAGTTAATACCTTGTTTAACTGGTAAAGCAGTTAAACACGTCGGCTCTGAAGCCAGACTGCCTGGCTGGAACCATAGTTCCACTACTTAGGCAAGTTATGTGACCCGTCTGTGCCTCATATTTCCCATCTATAAAGTGGGGACAATAATAGTGCCAACCCCATAGGGTTGTGGTGAGGTTAAATGTGTCTAGCACAGTCCCTGGCTCATAATAAGTGCTCAGTAAGTGCGACCTCCCTCCCTCTGGGCCAGGCATGGTGTCTGACAATCAGTAGGCGATCCATAAATGCTCTCTGCTTGATTCAATGAGCACTTATTGGACCCCTACTGTATGCAAATCATTCTGCTGGGCACAGGGAGGGAAGATAATAGCTAAATAAGATCCAGTCCCCCTGCTAGAGGAAGTTTCATTCAAGTCCCTGTGGAATTTAGGGAGCATTTATTTTTCACTTCAAGATGCAGCCGCTGAGCTGGGGCAGAGAGTAACACAGAGTCTGAACATGTGTGAACATCTGAGCTGGGGCAGCTGGCGTGACACCCCTGCCCCATGCTGATGCTTGGTATTGAATGAAAGGGAACCAATCAGGTCCTCTCTCCTGAGAAGTGTAAATTCACAATGCAGGTGGCAGGAACAAAGGTAACTGGAACTCGTCCTGTCACTGGAACCACGTCATGGGAACGGTAAGGAGTCCACCCTAAATGGTGGTCACGAGGACGATGAGACTAAGCTACATGTCTGTTTTCTGTGAGAACTACATCTCAGTCTTCTAGGGACCCAGAGAGGCTGAACGTCTGCTGAAAAAAGTCCCAATGACACCTCACCTCCCTTTGAAAGCAAACCCCGTACAGTTAGGGCTCCTTGAGTGACAGCAACAGAAGTGGACTCCTGCTAAATTAGATAAAACAGAAATTCGCTGGAAGGGTACTGGGGACCTATGGAATTGACGGGAAGGATAGAGAACTAGGCTCAGAAAATGGGCAAGAGCTGTGGGGAGCCAAGTGGCAGATCATGGCCCAGGAGCAGTCTGGCTGTGCTGCTGCACCTGGCACAGCCGTCACCGCTGCTTCTGCCGTCCCCAAACATCCCCTTCAGTGCCATTGGCCACAGCTCCTGCAAATGAGGTCTAGACTGACCTCTGAGCTCTTCACCTCTTGCCCAAGTCCCAAAGGCCCAGGAGGTCCCGCAGGCTGGGGGTGGGGAGGAGGAGCGTCTGGCTACTCTCAGATTCCGGAGTGGGAGGCAGGACCCTGCATATCACCCTAAGGGTTTCATCCAATGCCAGTAGGTTCCTGGCAGGAAACCACTGAGTCATTCGGGAGAGTTTAATAAATGGATTTTTTTTACAAAGCAGTTGGAAGGATTAAGAGAAATGCACAAGAGATGCAAAGGCTCCCAGGCTTGTAGCAGTAGACCCATTGCCAGGCCTGGGCCTGAAGGGCAAGAGGAAGAGGCTGTCACTGGACCCCAGAGAGAGCAGCTGTAGCTGTAGGAGAGGACACCCCAACAGGAGAGGTGACCTTCAGGTTGACATTCAACCTTGCACGAAGGGAGCTGGGAACACATTCTGTGACCTCCTATCCTCCCTCTCCCATCTCCTGCCAGCGCTCCCATTGGCTGAACTCAACCAGATGCTGTTGGGTTCCATACAGCTCCCACCCACTCCCTGGCTCGTTGAGGGGAGGGTGGAGAGCGGATCTGGAAAATACCCAGCACACCCCACAAATAGGGTTTCCCTCCATCAAAGGCCACGTGTATCTCTTCCCTGCACCCTGGGAGAATCTAACTAATCTAAGGATGAATTCAGCTCGCAGGGGTGGAGGGAGGAGGTCAGGGATGATGGTGGAAGTCCTGTCTTGGGGAGGAGGCATTTGAGGTCTCTCAGAACCTCTGTCTGCAGGTGTGCCTGAGCAAGTCTGCTCAGAGCCCGGGGGGAGAGGGGGTGGGGGGAGAAGCTGATTTACACACCTGTGTGTCCCCGTGGGACACTCGCCTGGCCCCGCCCATCTGTGGCATCACAATACCCACTGAGCCATCCTTTCAGAGCCCACCCTGAGGCCACTCCTGGCTGGCTGCTGGCCTACACCCACCTCCTGCCCAAAGGGCAACGCTGTGAATTCCACAAGGCTTCGCCCCCCTCTCCATCCACCCACATCCCACCACCATGCCTGGGTGCTTCTTGGCCCCTTGCCTCCTCCGTGGTGGCCTCTCTCCCTCTCTCTCAGACTCTCCTATTTGGCAGGGAGGGGAGGCTGGGGTATGTTGTAAAGGTTGGTTGGTTTTTGCCTCAATCCCAGCAGTAGGACCTTCTCAGGGGTCAGAGACCCCTCCTCTGAGCCTCTGCCTCTGCCTGGATACACTCGTGATTCTTGAGCCCTCAAGGGAGGAGGCTGAGGCAAGGCTGGGGAGCTGGGGTTCTCATCGAGGCTTGGGCAATACACAGGACTCTGTGGACTACCCCCAGGGATGTCAGAGGTTGCCTCGCAAAGCTGGGGGATGGGATCTGGGCGCCTTCCTCAGCCACCCTGGCCTGCCTGAGACATCATCACCATCACTGGGAGTCGGGGGCACAGCCAAGAGCAGACCGCCTGGACTCTGCTCTGTCTCCAAGACACCTTCCCTGGCATCCCCACAGCAAAGCTAAACCAGAACCTCCACCAGCAGTTCAGTGATCTTGGGTCACCCCAGCTTGGAGGCCTTGCTAGCTTCACGTGTCCTTCAGAGAGAGGGCAAGGCTTCACCCAGAGAAGGGACTTGCTGGGGGTGGATTCGGGCACTGATCAAGTTTGGCTGTCTTTCATCCAGAACCCAGCTGCCTTTTGGGGAACTCCCTCTGCTCTCATTGTGTGGAGCCTTGGAGGGAGGGGAGATCCAGGGATCCAGCTAAAAAAGCTAGGGGTCCAGACCCTTATTCTCCAGGGAGCCTCAGCCCATCAGATGTTCCCCTCTGGAACTCAAATATGGCCTAGAATGTGTTCCAAGGACGTTCATCACAGGCATGAGCCCCGACCAGAATTCTTTGGGCTCCGAGACAGGCCTGTGGATCCTGTGTCCCAACCCTATGGCATTTCCTGGCCCCTGCCCTCTTTCTAAACCAGATCCTGCAGCCCTCCCCTCTTCTACCCTTCCAGCAAATGACCCTCAGCTTAATTCTGTTGCTTGTAACAGAGGAGTCTGGAGAAGATGTTGGTGGGGCAAGGGGGCTTCCTCTGCGGCATCACAGACCACCCACCGTGCTCAAGATTAGCCTCCCCAGATCCCCAGGGCCTGAGACTCTGAGGGCAGAAGGGGACCAGGACCAGGGGCCTGGATATCACCTCCTGTCTCGGGCCACGTTCCTTCTTGCCCGGGCCTGTGAGGCACACCCATGGGCGAGGCTGTCTGTGGGCAGGGAGGTGTTTCCTGCCCTTGGGGCCTACCATTCTCAGGCCTGGGAAATTTACTTTTCTGGCAGGGATTCGAAGTTTGTACCAGTCAGATGGAGCTCCTCGTAGCGCTACGGGTCACCCTGGTACAGATGAAAACACCAAGGCAAAATCCCGAAAGGCAAGTT